ACTTGAAATAATATAGCCTCACATACCTAAAGTAGCAAGAAATATTATAAGAAAGTAAAAAAATCATCGAAACCTATGCCATTTTGCAGTAGAGAAAGAAATCCAATGATACCTAAGTTGTGTAAAGAAGAATTGTGAGAGATGGGGCAAAGGCTGGGCTCGTGACTGCTTTCTCTAAGTTTCCATAGAGAAAATCCTAAAATGATAGTGGTTTGTCTTCCTCAGTTTCACCTCCCTTCTCCCGACTATATGTTGACTAGATCAAACAAAGATCTTTCGATACCCCTGGCTCACTTTATTGCTTGCCAGGGTTCCACTGCACGAAGAAGAAGAAAGACCTCTATACTCCCTTTCATGAATCAATGAGGGTGAAATGAGAGAATCAGAATAAGCAATGGGAAGAGCAGGGGGCATAAATGAAGTTGCAAAAACAATTGCATTTAATGCTCCTGTTTGATAATGGAAAATGACTACCATTTGAGATGGTTTAGATTTTGACCAATCAACAACATCCTATGAGATTTGTTAATATATGTTAATTTAAAATTTTGAATGAATTATGAATAATTTTAAAGGGGTGGGGACAACAAAGATATATTTGAAGTTTAGGTAGTTTTATATTTAAATACGAGGCTAAGAGAGTTTTATATTTAAAATATATAAGCATGACATGAGGCATTATTAGACATAAGTTTGATTTTAAAAATTATTTTTTAAAAAAAATCAATGTTAAGGTGAAAGTTATGACGATGAGAGGGATAATGGGAGAGAAGATTAGATATGAATGAAAATAAAGGAGAAAAAATAAAGAGATAAGGAAAAGTAGTTTTGGTTAGTTTTAAAACATTGTAGTTATTATCTTTTTAAAATTTTTGTAGAAATATTTGAAGAGATAATGGAGAAATATGTGGGATAATGAAGAGATACATGAAAGTGAGGTAATTTTATTTATTTTTTTAAAAAAATGAAATATAAAAACATAAAGGAAATGTGGCAGAATACATGAGAATGAGGTTGTTTTATTTATTTTTAAAATAAAATATGAAAATATAAAGAATGTGTAGCATCAACACTCACCAGACATAAGCTTGTGATTCTAATTATCTATATGTGTGTGTGTACACTTCATTTTTCTTCACGGTTCATCATTTAGTATATGTGAATTATAAATTTATACTTATAATTTTTTTTGAAAAGGTATGTTATTTATTAAATCATTTTTTAAATATATCAAGATTTGAATAACAAAAATTACTTATAATTAAACTCATATCTTTTTTAGTGATTACACATTTAAAAGTACTTTTCATTATACATTATCAAAACAATTTTTAATTTACCAAATTAATTTTTAAAAAATTGTATTCAAATACAAGTTTTTATTAAAAAATTAAATTTTATCAAACAGACTTTTGTCAAATAAATTTTTGATAAACATTAAAACTCAATAGGCATTAACATGATAGAAATAAATTTAAAAGATTAAATTAACAACTTATCCAGGTACTAAAAAACGCAGCATCCCATTTTTTATCTTTATATCCTACTTGAGCATGAGCTCTTGTTGATGTAAAGGGGTACTTGTCACCTCAATTATTATTAGTTAATAAATTTGATTTTGGCTTGGCCCCTTTTCATTAAAAAAATAAGCAAAAATTTAAGTAATTTAAAATATTAACCTTAAGTTTTAAAATAATTTTAATTTTAGAAGTGTTTATAAAATTATTTTTTTGATACATTTATAATCAAATGATTAAATTTCATATTCAAAACATAATAATTTTATGGATACCCAAGCCAAAAAAATTTTAAATATTTTTGTCCCTCTGTGCTTTGTGAAATAAAAGTTTTCAATATATCATACATAAATCATTTAGGCAAGCTTGTATCGAGAATCAAGAATCACAGCAATAATCAATAAAGGATTCAAATTAGCTACTACCCCCTAGTGCTTATCATACTTACTCTTCATGCCCAAAGACATCTTTCTAAGAAGAGGGTCATCACTTTCAATATTCTCATCTAACAACTCTTGAATTAAAGTGATTTGATGGAAGCATGTATGTGCAGTAACTTTCAATGTGCTAGAAAATTGCAAAGTGACATCATAAAATACCTTCAAAAACTTAAGAAAGAACCGTGCTTTATTCCAAGCTTGTTTGTTTAGATAGCCATTATGCTTAGGAGGAGCTTGCCTAAAGTAAGGAAAAGCATCCATGTTGTCATTGGATCTAGCACCTTGCCTATAAATAAAGGCATTCGTGTTACCACCTAAACAAGCAAAGTCACTCTGAGCATGATGCTTTAAACCTTTGTTGAAGTAGCTTACAAAATTTTCATCCTCATCTTCTAATCTTTCAAATACCTTTTGAAACTTCAAAACAACATCCAACATTAAATATGTGGAGTTCCATCTAGTACTGACATCGAGGCAAACAATACTTTTTGTGTCTAACATTTCCAATTCACAAACATTTTTAAATCTTTGCAAGCTAGCAGGAGATGAACGAACATATCTAATAGCATTTTGAATAGACTTAAAAGTATCTTTCAACTCCTTCAAACCATCATTAACAACTAGATTAAAAATATGTGCAGAACATCATAGTTTAAAATAATCACAACTACAAATAAAACCCCTCCAATTCTTTAGATGCCTTTTTAAGTAAGACAAGGTTGTGTCATTAGAAGTTGTATTATCTATGGTTATGGTGAACACATTTTGTATGGCCCAGTCTAATAAGCATCTTTCAATTGTCTTGCCTATTATATTGCCCTTATGATTCTCAACCATACAAAAACTAAGAGTCTCCTTGTGCAAGTTCCAATCATTATCAATGAAATGGGCTATCAAACATAAGTAATTGAAGTTTTGAACTAATGTTCAACAATCTGTAGTGAGGCAAAGACGATTAGTAACTTCTTCAACAAATTTTTTAAGATTCTAATTTTACTAAGATACAATTGCTAGGCATCTCTAGCTACTGTTATTCTTGAAGGGATTTGAAATTGTGGTTCTAACTCCTTCACAAACTTTTTAAAGCCTTCCTTCTCAACAAGCTTAAATGGCATCTCATCACATATGATGAACTCAGCTAAAGCCCTGCAACATCATTTTTGATTGAACATGTGAGGTACTAAGCTTCCCTCTTACCTGCTTGGTGTCACATAATTAAACATTGATTACTTTGTCATTTGTGTAGCCTTATGTGGATTCTTGGAATATTTTGGCACATGCCTCTTCTAGGATTTTAAACCATGCTTGCCTGGGTCACAAGCATAATCTAAATTACAGTACTTGTATGTAGCTCTAACTTCTCCATTTATTCCCTCCAATGGTAACTTAATAAAGTGTTTCCACACTTTTGATATCTTTCTTGCAAATTTTTTTTCTCTTTCTATTACCTTTTGTGGCTTCATTTTCAATTTCAGTTGTAAGAAAAGGAGGATATTTTATAGTAATTAGGGGCTGAGGAGGAGGAATAGGTGTCAAAGATGGCCCAGAAAGAGTTGAACTCACATTTTCAGCAGTAAAAGGAGATGATTGAGGTTGGTCAATGCCGGACGTTTGCTCAATATCCATCACTTTACAATGATAAAATACAAAATATTACCAATGAGATTAAATAAGGAGACTTTTTCAAATTGAATCACATGACATGACATGATAAACAATAACATTCAAACATTGTAACTTCTAACAAGAATCCTTTTTGGTGTCTTCATTCATCTATGCATGGATGCCATGTGAGGAAAGAAAGAAATAGGACATATATATTCATTACTTTTTAGGAAAAGGGAAAGCATAACATCTTTTTTTAGGTAACAAGACGGAACAATACAACAACAAAAGAAAGAAGAACAAGGAAATTTAATGTTTTTTCAGACAATAAAAGTAGATGTGGTGAAAGGCGACAATAACTTCTGACGTGTCCAAAGTCCATAATTAAAAGATGGAAGGGTATAGTATTTCTTTCTCTAAGAGGTCAACAGTACAACAACAACATTAATATCTACTCATTCCTATCTCTAGTGCAACTGATCTAATTGTAGGTAAAAAAGGTATTATCATATACCATACATGTAACTTAGAGATTAAAACAAAAATAGCATGGTGATCAAGCAGAGGCTCCAGAAAGGAGCTAAAAATCAATGCAAAAATAAGATAGCATAATGAGAGTATTGAAATAAGAGCATCATCACTATGACAACTAAACATCACTATTTCATGAGAATTTTCTCTCGTCATGTCTAACCTTATGATTACTATGATAGATAAATAAATTCAAAATTTGATAAGAGCAAGGGAGGTTGGAAATGGGTCAAACAAGTGGGGAGAGGATGGCTTACCTTGCTTTGTATTGCAAAAAGGGAATAGAAACAAGTGAAAAAAGCAAAAATAAAACCATCATTCATAATAAACAGCTGAAGTTTGATAAAACCTCAGTTCATTAAGAACAGTGAACCAAACTAATTAGCTATGATTACTAATCAAACAACAGTTATAAAACACACATCTTTCATGGCACATACAATTCCAATAAGAAGAATTCAATGGGAAAAGGAATGCGAAAAACTAGAACTAGAAATGAACATACCTAACAATTGTGTGCTTGAAGGTGTGACATGTTGATGTTGAATCAAAGGTCAGGGTTGATGGAGAGTAAGGTTGGGGTGATGGTGCAATGTGCTCGGCAATAGACACGACTGACAATGGTGGTGCATTGGCAGAGCTACGAAGGGCAAGAGCTAGGGCTTTGTTAGCGAGAATGGCAATGAACTGACCTATTAGTCTATCTAGCTCACATAAGATGAGACTACCTAAGATACTAAAACTAAAACTTATGAATTAATAATTTATAAATTTAATTATATTAAAATAATTATAAGACCAGATTGGATTACTTTGATACAGATGTTTGGTCTCTGATTCGATTTTATCCAAAAAATCAATCTTGTCTTTTTAATTTTTTAGTCGTGCAAGACCAGCGTCTTTCAAAACTCGATCCGATCTGGTCAAACCGGACCACAAGACTTGTGCACAGCCCTACGTAGATGTGCTGATGAGTTTCGTGTTCGAAAACCGACGATGTCGTCTCTAGCCCGGACGCCATCGCTTGCAGCCTTGCAGAATCTCAGAAGACAAAAGCCTTAATCGGTTAATCTTTATCCGTCTTCCTGTCGGATCCCTCGGAAAACCCATAAATCCCTTACACCGACCCGGATTCAAGGTCTTCCAATGGGTCTCGCCGGCTCCGATCCCGATTCTGATACGTCTCGTCTCCTCAACAATCCCGAAGGCCCGCCCAACAAGGTCCCCGAAGACAAGTGGCATTTAGCCTACATTATTTACTTCATCCTGGGCCTCGGTTACCTTCTTCCATGGAACGCCTTCATCACCGCGGTCGATTACTTCTCCTACCTCTACCCTGAAGCCAGCGTTGATCGCATCTTCGCCGTCGCTTACATGCTCGTCGCTCTCGTCTCCCTCTTCATCATCATCCTTTACAGCCACAAATCCCATGTCTATGTGCGAATCAACGTTGGTCTAGCGATGCTTACGGTGGCCATGCTCATAGTTCCCATCATTGATGCTGTGTACATTAAGGGTCGGGTCGGGTTGTATGACGGGTTCTATGTGACGGTCGGAGCAATTGGGCTTGCGGGTTTAGGTGATGCTCTGGTTCAAGGTGGAATCGTTGGGTCTGCTGGTGAGTTGCCGGATAGGTACATGCAAGCTGTTATTGCAGGCACTGCTGCTTCTGGTAAGCTTTCCTTTTCTATATCCTCATCTCCTGTACAGTTACTATTTTTGGTTCAATTGTAAATGTCCTTTAGAAGTTCTGCTGCCAATTGCATATGATATCCGCACGGATTTTGAGATGCCTATTTGATTGTTAAAACTTGTTTTGATACTGATGTGTGAAAGAAGCATGTGTTCTGATTTATGTCTTTTTGTCTTTTTTGGATTTCTGATGAGATGTGTCTGGTTGCTGTTATGAAGCCATCCTCTTTAGGCATCTAATGAATTCCTTAAAAGGGCGGGATCAACTCTGTTTGTGTGATTGGTGTATTTCAATCTGAGCGATTATGAACAACTTTGAAACCGTATTATGTGTTGGAAACTCGGATTCTCAGCCATTCTTATGCACAAATATCAAATTTTGAATTCTAGGGCATTTTGTGTGTTCAGATTTTTAGGCCTGTGGCGTCTATTACTTGTGTGTCCAAGATTCTCCAGATACTGAATTCAGCAATATAATTTACTTATGAAAATTCAAACTCAGAAGTAAGATTTTCGTTCCTTTTATACTTTTTTCTATTTCCTTTTTATATTTTCAAGTGATGTTATATCTCAAAGATGAATAGAGCTTGATACTAGGTTGAAACTTTACAAGGAATGTGAGATGACGTCTTTCGTCTACAATGAAGGTGTTGTAATAGGTTGTTATTCGGCTGATTTTGTTCCAACATCACGGGCTCCTGGTTGTAATTAATCATGTCTGAAGCATTCGATATGCTGGTATAAGGTTTTTATGCAAACTAGTTTGTGTAGTATTTGCAAGAAATCAGCCATATTTCTTGCCTGACGAACTTCAGGTGTGTAAATTGTTCCTTGTTCTCATAGACGTGGCTTGGTTTTTCAATGTCTATGTAGGTGTCCTTATTTCTTTCCTGAGGATATTCACGAAAGCTGTTTACTCTCAAGATGCCATTGGCCTGCAAAAGAGTGCAAACCTCTACTTCTCTGTAGGAATCGTAGTTATGTTCATATGCACGGTTTTGTACAATGTAGCGCACAAGCTTCCTGTTATGAAGTACTATAGTGAACTCAAGGTTCTGGCTGTCACAGAGGATAGCGAAGTTCAAGGTCCTCTTACTGGATCTGTTTGGAGGGCAACTCTGTGGGATATTGTGGGCAGAGTGAAATGGTATGGATTTGGCATGCTTCTTATATATATTGTGACTCTTGCCATATTTCCTGGGTACATCACAGAAGATGTGAGCTCTCAACTTCTCAAGGATTGGTATCCAATTCTCCTTATCACATGCTACAATGTGTTCGATCTTGTTGGCAAGAGTTTAACTGCTGTGTATCTCCTTGGGAATCCAAAAATTGCAGTAGGAAGTTGCATAGCAAGATTGCTGTTCTTCCCTCTCTTCCTCGTGTGCTTGCACGGTCCCAAATTCTTCCGAACAGAGATTCCTGTGACGATACTGACTGGCCTGTTAGGGCTTACGAATGGTTACCTAACCAGTGTATTGATGATTTTGGCACCTAAAGTCGTAAAGTTGCAGCATGCAGAGGCTGCAGGTACTGTGATGGTATTATTCCTGGTTGTTGGTCTGGCTTCTGGATCTGTTTTAGCTTGGTTTTGGGTCATCTGATCAATCAATTTGTATGAATTCGTGGCTTCCAACAATCAGGAGTCAGAACATGGTTGGATGTTTTGTTTGTTGTAAATTATGTCAATTCAATGAGGTGATGCTTTTTTAGTGCTGCTTCTGCTTGTACTTCCTTTATCAACGTTATTGCATGTACTTGTGACGCACCAGAATAGAAAGACACAAAATGAAAGCCAAAAGCTGGTTGGTATGTTAATTTATGAGTGTCTTAATTTTCTTTATTGCTCACAAACATAGGCAATTGAGAAGAGACAATTCTATTCAAGGTATTGTCACCTAAGCTTTTTTTGGTTGCGCAAGTCTTATTTTAACTTTCAAAGTACAAGCCTCGCACTCTAGTTATAAATATATTACTATTCATGCGCCCCCACCCTAAAAAATAGGGTGCCAAAAATGGGCTGATCAATGCCATTATTTTCTGTTATAAACTTGAGCATCTTTTGGGCAAGTAAGGTGGCACAAATGCTAGTTTACTAGGATATCTATACCTCTTTATTTTAAATCTGAAAAAAATATATAATTAAAATATAGAAATGATAAATAAGTACTGCAAAATGTGATAATTATTGTGTAGTTTTTTGGGATTTATTTGATATTTTAGATTTTTGCCAAATGACATATTTGCCCCCCAATTTTTTTTTTTAAATCAATGACTATTTTATTTGGAATATTAACAAAAGCAAAATAGGAAATGAAAAGTTTTTTTTATGCCGTTTTTGTTTATTAGTCAAGTGCAACTACTAAAAATTGGTTATTAATTATGATTGGGAAATGACTACAACTGTCAACTGGATAACAAATAATAAGTGCTTCTCTAGATTTTTTTTTTTTTAACAATCAAATCCAAGTACTAAAAATCAAGTACTATTTATAATTGAGAAATGATTACTTTATTTGTGGAATTAACTATAGTTGAATAGCAAATGATAAGTGATTCCCTCTGGGGAAAAAAAAAAAATCAGTCAAGTTCAACTTAAAACAACTTGTGACTACGGGTTATTAACAAAAACAAAATGAAAAATGACACGTTTCTTTCTACCTTTTTTGTTTATCAATTAAGTGTAACTATTAAAAATTAGTAACTAGTTATGATTGGAAGATGACTACTTTCCCCATTAAAAAAAATATAAAATATTTTTAATATTTTAAGATATAATTAATATATTTTTTTAAAATTATTCGTAATAAATATATCACTTTATATTTTTTTGAAAGTGATACATCATATTAAATAGAGATAAATATAAAAAGATAATGTTAATTTAAAAATAAATAATTATTTTATTGAGAGAAGAAATTTAATTAAAAATACTTTATATTTTTAAATAAAAAAAGTATTTTGTTTGAAGAAATGACTATAGTTGAATAATAGATGATAAGTTTCCTTGCAAGAAATTTTTATTAGTTAAATCTAACTAAAAAAAATAATGATTACTTTATTTGGGTTATTGATTAAAATGGAATGGAAAATGATAAATTTTTTGTTTTTTTTTGTTTATCAATCAAAATGCAATTACTAAAAAACCGATGGAGTTGGATCTAGGACGGTTAGTCCCTTTGCTTCTATTTTTCTTTTTTGTCATTTTCCCTAATTTGTATGAATTTATTGTGCATTTTCTATAGCATCTTTTTTTTAAATGAAAAAAATAAAATATCAAAATGATACTATTACATAACAAGACGAGAAACAGAAGGAAGCTCCCTTCATCCATCATCTTTCTGGTTTTAGGGATTTATTTTCAGTGGCCATGTATGAAGCATGACGAATTGGATGCGAAGCATGGCATTAGGAGTTGGAACAGGCACTGCTCTTCTCTCCAGGACTTCCATGGTTGCTCTCTTCTCCTCTTCCTTTAAAAAACCAATCTCCTTCTCTACCCTCAGAATGCCTCTCTTTCTCTTCTCTTTCCTCCCTCCTCCTCATCGCTCGCTCTCAGCTCCGGCAGCTACTTTAGCTTCCGTTCCTTCTATGAATGACGACAATACCCCCGATTTTGGTGAGCATTGTCACTCTCATATTTGCATCAAAATTATTACTTTTTAAGTTCTTTTCTTTGACGAAATCTCTTTGTTTTTTGGGTAGGGGACAGTGACCGGACTGCTGTTTCTAGAAATGGTTCCAAGTTGCTTCTTAAAGGGATGACTTACACTGAGCTTGAAGTATGGTTTGTCGTGTCGAAGTTGATTAGTTTCATCTTGTTGATAGTGTTGTTGAAATTTGGTTTCTGAATTATGCTCGTGTGCTGCTTTTAGCGTGTCAGTTAGACGTGACCATATACAAAATTTTCTAGTTTCAGAATTTTCCTATTCTTATTAATGAAAGTGTATGACAATTTTCAGTATGCGAAATGACGGATTTAATTAACGCTTGTCGATTCAAAGTTCATGGCTAGTTCTGGTAAGCTTTAGCTTTGTAACCCTTCTTCTGCAGAAATGGGTCCAGTCGCATGGATACAGGCCTGGGCAGGCTATGATGTTATGGAAACGCATGTATGGAAACAACATTTGGGCATATCATAGCGATGAATTGGAAGGTTCTTCCCTTACCATCTTTTCTTTTTATGAACTAAACTTTAGAAATTGCTGTAGCACACTTTAATTGGACGATCATATTTGTGCACTAATTCCTTAGATCCTCAAAGTGAGTCTATGTATACGCAATTCTGCGCCTTCTTAATTTACTAATAATTGATATAATTTCATATCAATCTTATGATTAGGTTTGAACAAAGATTTCAAGAAGATGTTAAGTGAAAACGCTGAGTTCAGGGCTCTTAGTCTGAAAGAAATTCGCACGGCATCTGATGGAACTAGGAAGGTTCAACCTATCTTTCTTCATTTCTTTCTCTGATATTCTTTCCATCAAATTTTCGTCTTTTAGATTTCTATTGCTGCAAGTTCACCTGGATGCTCCTTAGGTGGTCTTTTGACTTAATGACTGCACACACACTGTAACTGATAGTTAGTTGCATTTTTGGAGAGTTCTCTTGTTGACTATTATATTCACAGGATGTTGCAGATTTTATTCACATTGGATGATGGACTTGTCATAGAAACAGTCATCATTCCTTGTGATAGAGGCCGAAATACTGTATGTGTTTCAAGTCAAGTAGGATGTGCAATGAACTGCCAATTTTGCTATACTGGAAGGCAAGCCTTCTTTCACCTGCGGGAGCAATTTAGTGGCACTATTCAGTTTCTTCTCATATTTTGACTGCTAGTTTATCATAATGCAATTATTTTGCAGAATGGGCCTTACGAGACATCTGACTGCAGCAGAAATTGTAGAGCAGGCTGTTTTTGCTCGTCGCCTGCTTACAAGTGAAGTTGGCTTAATCACAAATGTTGTCTTTATGGTAGGTCTGCTGTAATAATGAAAATTCTAATGCATACTGTGCATTGAGTTGTCAATCATTGTTCAGATTTCTAACCATCCCTGCTCCCAAAAAAAACAAAAAACAAAAAAGAAAAGATGGTAATCTTATCTTAAACACCTTGAATTTGTTTAGCTTGCAATTTATGTACTCACATGTCAACGTAGTGGCAGGTATATCTTTTATTCTCGAGGCAAAGTCCATTTTAAATGTATTGATTTATGTGTTGCAATACATGAGCATATTTATCTCTCTCTCTCTCTCTCTGCCTATATATATATATATATATTTCCCATTTTGCTATAATCGTATTGTAGATTGGTTAATTGCTTATTTTTATTGGGCCCCTCAATTCCTTTTTGGCTACAAGTTGTATTGATACACCCGGAAAATGTATTGATACACTTGTTAGCTACAAGTTGTAACTCATGATACATCTGCACCAGCACTTTTTTGCACTCTTGATATTCAGGGCATGTTAAGGGCCTCTTTGGTTTCTATTCTCGTTTTCTGTTTTTAAAAAATGTTTTATAATACAATTGTGAAAATTGTTTTTCAAAACAAAACAAAATTAAAATCTGTTTGGTTGTGTTAATTTAAAAACAATTTTAGAATTAAAACATAAAATAATAGTAATGGTTATAGGCGGTTAATTGTTGTGATTTTTTTATAGAAATTGGTTAACATAACTATAATTGTTAATAATTAAATATAGTGTATTTTGAAAACAAGAAAAATAAAATGAAAATAATTTTAACTTGTTTTTACTTTTTTTATTTTTTAAAAACAAAAAATGAAAAAGTTTTTGAAAACAATTAAATCAAAAACACTAATTCAAACAAGTTTTTAAATTTTTCTGTTTTCAAAAACCAAAAACAGAAAACAAACAGACCCTAAGTCATGTATTTTTCCAACTTTTGCAATATTTTATACCTCTTTTACATATATATTTTTTAAATTCTTCTAGTTGCTTTTCATTTAATGTTGCGCAATTTTGTACATCTTTCTTGTCTAGGACTCCTGTCAATCAGTTTGATGCTAACATTAACATGACATGCACATTAGAGTTGGGGAGGGGAAGATAACGATGAGAAAGAAGTGAAATCTTTTAATTTCTTGCACACTAATAAGAGTTGTGCATTTATTTTAGGGCATGGGAGAACCACTTCATAACATTGATAATGTGATTAAAGCTGCAGATATTATGGTGCATGAGCAAGGGCTTCATTTCAGCCCTCGCAAGGTCACTGTTTCAACCAGTGGGCTTGTTCCACAAATCAGACGTTTTCTTCATGAATCTAACTGTGCATTAGCTGTTAGTTTGAATGCAACAACTGATGAGGTACCTTGCTTCTTAAATATTTTTATTTGCTATTAGAACTGAAACAGAAATAAAGATATGTGAAGAAGAGAGGGAGGAATGACCTTGCTTCAATCTCACATGGCAGGTGAGGAACTGGATCATGCCAATAAACCGCAAGTATAAATTGGACTTGCTTCTTCAAACTCTCCGGGAGGAACTACGCTTCAAACATAATTATAAAGTTCTATTCGAGTATGTCATGCTTGCTGGAATTAATGACAGGTTGGTTGAACTTTCCCTTGCATTCCTTGTTTGGTATGTAGAATCTGAGCATCTTCTCATGTTTCATGTGATGTTACCAATGCCCTACTAGGTTGAATTTCTTATCTTTCCACAAAAACCTTACTACTGTGGAATTTGTCATGAGCAGGACTATTATTATATGCATAAAATGGTCTTGCCCGGTAATGAACTTCTAGAACAGAATTTTCTGTGTGAAAATTTCATTTAAGACCTTTGACACACTTAGTAAAAAAGAAGACCCCTTAAACTTTGAAAATTTACTTCAAACCAAGGGTACTGAAGTGAAATTAAAATGCAAAGTAAAATTATTTCATTATCTCTCATTTCCTTTGATTCTCTACTAAAGTTGCTTATTTCCCTACATGAAGTTGTTTGTGTTATGATTGAATCTTTATTTTTTTTCCTAAGTGTTGTAATCATAGTAAAACAAGTTGTTCATTTTCCTGCATACTGTTTGTACCATTGCTAAATCTTTATTTTATTCCAAGTGCTGTAAATATGATAAAACAAGTTTTTCATTGTCTTACATCAAGGTCATTGACCTATAAAAGTTGTTTGTGCCATTATTGAACAACTTCATATAGGTCAATGAACAATTTTAGTAGAGAATCAGAGGAGATGAAGGACAATGAGGTAATTATAATCTACATTTTAATTTTACTTCAATATCTGGGTTTGAAATGAATTTTCAGAGTTTAAATATCCTTTTTTTATTGTTTATTTAGTGTGGTCAAGGGATCTTAACTCTTTAAATGAAATTTTCCTGTTTTCTTTTCTTTCTCCCTACTCTTTTTGTTTTGTTTTGCCTTTTTTTTTTTTTTTGTGCCTTCAATCTATTGTCCTAGACAATTAACCATAACTAAAATTTGAGTTCGAATGAACCAATGAATTCAAAATTGCTATATGGGTGGCCTTTTTAGATTGTGCCCAAAATGGAATTTTTCTTTTGCCTTATTTACATTTTATATTGGGTAAACATAACTTTTGATTCTTGTATTTTACTCATTTTAGTTTTGATCCCTGTACTTTTTATTCGATGTTTTAGGTCCCTACATTTTTGTTTTCCATTATTTTCGATCCTTCTATGAGCAAAGTATATGAATTTTGGGATGACCCAAAATAATAAAAAACAAAAGTGTAAGAGTCTAAAATACCAAAAAAGAAAATATAGGAACCAAAAGTAAAATGTGAGTAAAGTATAGGGATCAAAAGTTTTGCTTATCCTTTTATATTTCCTAATATTGTAATTTCATGTGTTGAGCTTTTCATTTTCCACTTTTATTGCCATCTTTTATGCAGATAAAAGACATGCTTATTAGTTTATAATTATGGTTCAAATTTGAACCTTTTTTCTTTCGTGCATATTTGTATATTTAATGCTTCAAATTGTTAATGCTGCCTCTCCATACTTAATGCAGTGATGAGGATGCAAAGAGGCTTGTTGATCTTGTTAAGGGCATTCCTTGCAAGATCAATCTCATCTCCTTCAATCCGCATAGTGGATCACTGTTCAGACCGACTAAAGATGAAAGGATGATCGAATTCCGAAACAAGCTGGCGGAAGCTGGGTGCACCGTGTTTTTACGGCTAAGTAGAGGTGATGATCAGATGGCTGCCTGTGGTCAACTTGGTAAGCCTGGCACTATTCAGGCTCCATTGCTCCGAGTGCCACAGCAATTCCGAATGGCAGTTGGAAGTTCTGCTTGAATCTTCATGGGATTTTTCCTTTGTAGGCAGAATATACCACATTATTTGGAGGACTAATTAACAAACAAGGTTGAACAACTAAATACATACTCATTTCTATGTTTAGGAACTTCTTGTAAATTTGTTTGGGTGGGGTCTAATGTGGCACGAAATCCTTGCTCAAGAATGCTCCAGGACTTGGAAGCTAAACATGTTATATGACATGTCCAATTCGCCTATTGTAATTCTCAAATTTTAGGATGAATTGATTTTCATGTAAAGGAGCCAAATTTGCTTTTTCATCCTGTCTTTTTTTTTTTTTTTTAAGTTGGCTTGCAGCTTAGAAAGGGTTAATTCGGATGATATACAATAATGTTTTCTTTGATCAATTCAGAGTTGATTTCTGCCAGAAAGACTTCCCAATGAAATTTTAAATGCATTAATGCAACAAACAAGAATTATCCCCTTTTTGGTTGCCATGAAATAAGAATGTAAACTAAAGCGTACGAGAAGGATTTTAATTTTAAAGTATCCACTTGACAATAATACCGCCTCCCAAAGAAAATATCCTAATACCGCCACTGTTGAGCGTGACAAGTTGGGATGAGCTATTAGAAGCAGTAGAAGCTGATTGAAATAACAAAGCGCCAAAAATTCTCATCCACCAGATAAACAAGAAATGGAGCGCATATGGATAAGGGTGGTTGAATAATATTGCGATTGTGTGAATTCTCAGCGACCAGACCAGCATGACTAAACTAAGAAATTGACATAATAAATAGAGCTCAGCTTTCTACTGTTTCTTACTGTACACATTGTCATATTTGGTATCTAAATATTTCCTTACCAAAGGGTCAGAAACTGGCCAAGTTGGCTGTATTTTATCAGCAACCTTTGTTTTCCTTGCAAGGCCATCGGATACCCTGATTCCTACAGACTCCCTGCAAAACAATTGTTGTCCGTACACCAAATAAACAACAGCGTAAGCTATGCACAGATTGTTCATCCAGTGACATGAGGATTGCAATGCATGATCCCAAAGTGGGTCAAGAATCCTTGTCTGTCTTGACACATTCAGGGGGAGTGACAGCAGATGACATGTTTTTGCATGAATTTTGGAATTCTTCTTTGAGCAAATTACGAATTTTCACCCTCAAACTGGATGCCTCTTCAGGCTTAAACCACTTCTTGCCAAACTGCAAATTGAAATGTATCAGCCAAAAACGTCCATTGCTTAAAAGGTCTTCATACAAAAGAAACATCTACATCCATTACCATGTTTAAATCTTTCTTCTTCAATCGTTCAGGAGCCTCTTCTATGAAACGCTTAATGAAGTACAGCACAAAAAGACCACAGTCATATTCGTTTTTCTGTTGGGGAACCTGGTGCAAAAGCAAATAGGCAAATGCACGCAAACATTAACCCAGATCTTGGCAATATTTAAAGAAAAAAAAAATCATGATGAAAACTAAAAAGAGTGCATGCCAAGCGTCAAATTTCAATAATTAACTCAAATGAGCTGGAATTGTGGATGCAGTTGACCTATCGAGACAAAGCCTTTATGGCTTGGAAGACACGCTGCTCGAAGCCATCATTCAGGGTTCATTCAGTATTGAGAATGGAATGGAATGGAAAGATGAATGAGTTATTTTACATGTGAAATGTCACTAATCTCCCTAAATAAAAAGTATTAATAAAAAAAAATAATTGCAATTGTGAAATAATTATTGGGATATAACAAATACTACATATCTTGACTTTCAAGCATTGGAATTTGAAAAAACGGATTCCTTCACCCTAGTGCATGCCAAATACAAAAATGTTGGATAATAAGTGCCACATCTAATATTTAAAATCTGAACGTAATAAAATATATATATATATATATATATGCATACATATGAAAGCCATATAAGCTTGTGGTAATCTTGTAGTAATCTCAATCAACTAGATCAGGCTATTTTAGTGATATGAACAAGCCGAAGGCCAGGCCCATGCACAAGCTAAGAACGTAATATTGTGTCAAAGAAGGGGAGGGGGGAGGGGAGCCTAACCACAAGAAGATCTGAGATCCTAAAAAAATATTGGACCAAAGGCCTGAGGTTCAATTGTACAGGCCTAGGTGATAAAGAAGAATGTTTTAACCTATGGCCTCTGAGGCTCCAAAAACACGAGTTTAAGTAAAATATAATTGGGCCCAAATAATAAATGGACTAAGCTAGAAAAAGCAAGTCTAGTTACATTTTTTTTTTTTTGGGTAGGGGGTGGGGTACTGTTGGAGTTGGAGAGTAGAAATCTCACATCTAGAAGTAATAAGAACATTGAAGAGCATGTTAAGATCATGGTAATCTCAAGTAGTTTATGCTATTTTGGTGATATGGACAAGCCTAAAGTACAAACCTATACACAATGTGAACAAAAAATTACCTCAAGTATTTTATCTTCAATTCTACGTGGAAGATACTTCCATATCTTGTCAGCTATTGGAATATCTGAGGGCACATATTCTCGGTCCACATATTTCCATTCTTCTTTTAAAAAACTGCATGTGATAATTTTACATAATCCTTGGTTTGTTACTCACATCAAAGATAAATGTGAAAAAAAGCAGCTAATCAAAAGATGATGATGGGATAACAGGGACGAACAAGTTGTGTCACTAGAACTTTCCTCCAAAAGATAGATACAAGCAACTACATCATCAAGTTGAACAATGTCCAAGACTTTCATCATCGAAATATATAAAGAAATCTCTAATGATTTTCAAAACATAATGCTGCCACATGTGACACGCCTTACAAAATGACAGGCAAGAAGCAACTTTTAGAACCTTGAGTCTTACAAAAGATTCATTCTCATCCCTTAGGTTTTTAGGTCCATTGTTATCCAAAAAGGATACATTAAGATCTGATTTTTATTTTCTGTTATCAATGTTATTAGTTCCCTTATCTCTCAAGAGATTTTATTCATCTTGCGTTCTGAACATTAGTGTTATTTGAACATCAATATTCAACAATTAACTCACGTCTCTTAGTTTCCACTGGTACAAATATAAGATATTTGCCAATTTCCAATACCTCCTAACAAGCTGTATGCCAAACATTCTTCTGATTGCAATGATTATACTGAATACTGATATTGATTTGAGTCCACTCTCCCATTTAACAACAATAAAAAAATAAAAATAAAAAATAAGAACCAACAAAGAATAATGATACTGTAACATGTCCTTGCAGGAAAGATTATTTAAGAACTAAGGACCAGAGGCAGAACATATAAATAATGGTATAAACTATAGAGATCTCCTGTCTCACCTTTTTACGTTCTCAAAAACGGATCTACTAGAGTGAAGACTCAGAGAATCTAAATGAAGTATGATTGGCCCAGATTCATCTTTTTTCTCTGGGAAAGAAATAATGACCAAACTCCAGTGAAGACTGCAAGGATGAACATAAATAAGTAACAGACATTAAAAAAAAAAAAAAAAAAAAAACCAGGGGACATCATACAAATTATAACAATGATGCTTTTTTTTTTTTTAACAAGCTTTCTGCTTATTATATGTTTTAGGGAACATATAATAAGCAGAAAGCTTGTATATATACACACATCAAGATCCCTCAAAAGCACAAAAGTCTCAATCATAAATTAGTGCCATTAAGACTCTCAAAAGCAAAGGAAACATAACCACCAAAACTTTTAATTTAAATTACTCACACCCTTATTTTACACTTCTTGCAAACTCTTTGATATCAAATAACCTTTTTTATACAAGATGCAAAGAATATCTTTAAGCACGAGGGGGACAAAGGGTTAAAAATTAAAACAAGGAAAACAGACATTCGCTAGGCTCCAACGACAACAATAAGCCTTATCCACTAAAGCCCCATTTGGTGTGCTAGAAATGGAATTGCAATTCATATTTTTACCTGTTTGGTTTGCATGAACTAGACTTCCACCTTGAAATGAAATGAATCATAATAGGGTGAATTGGGTTCCACAGTGAGGCCTATGAAAATGAGATGGGTCTATGGAAGTGCATTTTTTTCAAACAAAAATAACCTCAGTTATGAAATTTTTGAATAGTTTTGCCCCTTCAATCAATCAAATAGCACAAGTCCCCGATTGAAAACCCTAACCCTATCTGATTATTTGCTATCAATTAGTGGAGAAGAGAGCACAAGCTGCCACTCTCTTTACATCTAACACGATTAGTCAAGGAGAAAGCGAATGACAATGATAGAAATAACATAAAAAAAAATTTTCTCTATGTTTATTAATCAAACAAAACACAAACCAATCTCATAAAAATTAACTTCAATTCTAATGTAACCTTGAGATATGGTCAGACTTATAAGAGGAGATCTAGGGGGCAGGTGGGTGTAGAAAAGAAATACCCAATGGATCAAAGTTAATATCCTTAGGGTCCAGAAATTAAGGATTAAGTCATGATGTATGGTAAGGTGGCTTAGATTCAGTCTAGATACATTAGTCACCTTTTTTGCTTCCTTATTTTGTTGTTGCTGTTTTAGGGGAGCACTGAAGAATGTTGTGATAAGCTAGTCAGAAGGAAGGAGTGCTGGTCTCTCAAACACTAATGAAAGGCTGTGTTCTCATTGCTGTGTTATTTCTTTTGTTGTAATTTTCATCCATAAGGAATAAGGTTTTGGCAAAAAATCAGTGAGCTTCTCTTTTGTAACACTGATTCGGTTTCTAAGTCTCAATATCAAAAACCTCAGAATTTCCCTCATTTATTTCCTTCTTGCATTTAAGTTCTATTGAAAGTAATTAATATAGAGCAAAGCTCTATCAATTGGTATCAGAGCAGTGCAATCCTTGGACCAAGGACCAATTAAGTGGAAGACATGGCAGAGGGAGTACATTATGCTGACCTGGTGTACAAGAGCTAAAGGAGACAATAGGAGTTTTGTCAAAAGACATGACCTTAATGAAAGACATGATGCAGAAGATGCAAGGAACATTGGATCAATCAATGGAAAAGCAGAAACAGGCGCCTGACAACCACGAACAAGAGCAACCCAGCCATGAGGAAACTGTTGGAAGTACAAGAAACCATGAGAAAGAGGGAGGGAAGTACAAAAAACTTGAGTTACCTATTTTCAATGGGGAGGACCCCATTGGCTGGCTATTTCGAGTGGAGAGGTACTTTAGAATTAACCCAGTGGCGAAACAAAACAAATAGATGCAGCAATCGCCTGTTTGGAAGGAAAAGCTCTGAACTGTTATCAATAGGTCAAAACCAGAGCCCCTGTCCGAATGTGGTCTAAGTTTAAAAGGGAGCTATTGCACCGGTTTCATCCATCACAAATGGGGGACCAGTACGAGATGATGCTAGCCATGAAGCAAGAAGGCTCTACACATGAATACGTGGAAGAGTTTGAGCAAGTATCAGCCATGGTGAGTGATACGTCGGAGGCTTGCTTGGTTGGAGCATTCAGAACTGGGTTGAAGCTGGAAATCCGAGCCAAATTGAAGCTAATGACAGTGGCCAAGACTCACATGCTTCACGGGCCTAACATCTTCCAAGTGGGCCTAGCAATGATTCAACCCAAACCTCTTACACAAGGGTAACCCATGTACTTGAGCCCAAAAAATACACGCACACTCCTCTAATGCCTGTGAATTCGGGAGCCCAGAAACGAACAGAGACAAAGACAACTGACTCAAGAATGGGAAGTAACGCGTCTAGACCAGCGTCGACTCGACTGGGAGGACAAACTCAACGACTCTCTAATGCGGAACTGGCTAGACGACGAGAGCATGGCTTGTGCTTCAAATGTGCTGAGAAATTCGGGCCTAATCACGTCTACAAGAATAAAAATATGCAAGTTATGTTGCTGGAATTAGAAACTGAAAAGGGGGCCAAAAACCATGAACCAGTGGAAATTGAGGATAGTGAAGGGGTGGAAGACGACACTACTAAGATGGAGTTATCACTAAACTCCATTGTTAGGTTTGGAAGAAATCATACGATAAAGGTGCGTGGGGAACTAGAAAAGGCTGAAATTGTGATCTTAATTGATAGTGGGGCCACTCATAACTTTATCGCTGAAGACTTAATTAGTAGAGCCAAAATTCCAGTAGAGGAAATTGCTGTTTATTCGATCACTGTTGGGGATGGGTTCAGTTCTAGAGGGAAACAACGCTATAGTGACCTCAAGCTGCAAGTACAAGGTTTGAACATTATTTAAACTTTCTATCCTTTTCCACTCAGTGGCATGGATGCCGTTCTAGGTGTCGAGTGGTTAAAATCATTGGGAGAAGTAAGGGTAAATTGGGGGCAATTGACTATGAAGATTGGTAAGAAGAGTAACAAGGTATGTTTACAAGGTGATCCAACTTTAACCAAGACTTTGGTTTCCTTTAAATCACTTATGTGATCCATTCAGAAGAAGGGAGAAGGGTACATGGTTGAATATAATGGGATAAGAACTGAAGAAGCAACACCTGTAACTCTAGATTTGGCACCTAAAATTCAGAACCTCCTAGATCAATTCTCTGCAGTTTGCCAACCCTTTGAAGGGTTACCACCAACTCGTTCTCATGATCATGCAATAGCCATCAAACCTGGAGAGTAGCCCCCTAACATAAGACCTTACCGGTACCCTCATGCTCAAAAAAATGAAATCAAGAAAATGGTGAAAGATATATTGAAGGCAGGTATCATTCAGCCCAGTCAAAGTCCCTACTCTAGCCCAGTCTTGTTAGTCAAAAAAAAAAAAGATGGGAGTTGGAGATTCTGTGTGGATTATAGAGCCTTGAATAAAATCACGGTGCCAGATAAGTTTCCCATACCAGCTATTAATGAATTGTTGGATGAATTAAAAGGAGCTGCCATATTCACCAAGCTGGATTTGAAATCTGGATATCATCAGATCATAATTATGGCTGGAGATGAACCCGAAAACAGCATTTAGAACCCATGAGGAACATTATGAATTCAAGGTAATGCCCTTTGGTCTAACCAATGCTCCTTCCACCTTCCAATCTTTAATGAATGAGATATTTAGTGAGCATCTACGAAAATTTGTGCTTGTGTCTTTTGATGATATACTTATTTACAGCCATGACTTAACAACTCACTTGAAACATTTGAAAGTTGTTTTGTCTATTCTGAAAGAAAATCAGCTAGTGATCAACCTTAAGAAATGCACTTTTGCCCAACCAAGAATTCAATAACTTGGGCATATTATTTCTAAGGAGGGGGTGCAAGCAAATCCCAACAAAATTGAGAGTATGGTGCAGTGGCCTAAATCCAAGAATGTGAAATCCTTAAGAGCTTTCCTAGGGTTGATGGGGTATTATAGACGATTTGTCAAGAATTATGGGAAAATAGCCAGTCCTCTCACTAATTTACTCAAAAAAGATGCATTTAAATGGACTCCAGAAGCTGAAGAGGCATTCCAAAACCTCAAGACAGCCATGACTTCTCTCCCAGTACTAGCCATGCCTGATTTTTCTGCCCTATTTGAGTTGGAAACAGACGCTTCCGGGTCTGGAATAGGAGCAGTGCTGATGCAAAATGGCCACCCAGTGGCATTTTACAGTCAAAAACTCTAATCAGGCTCAACAATGCTCCGTTTATGAGAGGGAACTTATGGCCATTGTTATGGCCATCAAAAAATGGCGGCATTACCTATGGGGGCAGAAATTTGTCATCTGAACAGATCAAAAAGCCTTGAAGTATTTGCTGGAGCAGAGAATTGTCAAGGAGAGTCAGCAGCACTAGGTCACCAAACTGATGGGATTCAAGTTTGAGATAGTCTACAAGCCAAGCAAGGAAAATCGTGCAGTCGATGCACTCTCAAGAAAAGAAGAAAACCTAGAGCTGCATGCATTTTTCCTGTGGCAACACGATGACCTTGAAGAGTGAGAGAAAGAAGTGCAAGTCGATCCCAAGTTGAATAATATAATGCAACAAGTCATCACCAGACCCGGGAGTTTAGAGGGGTACAGCCTGGTGAAGGGTTGTTTACACTACAAGGGACAACTGGTGCTACCAAAGAAGTCTACTAGAATTCCCCTACTAATAAAGGAATTTCATGATTTACCAACAGGGGGTCATTCGGGTTGTTTGCTCACTTATAAGAGGCTCTCTACTGTGGTGTATTGGGAGGGCATGAAAAAAGATATACAACTGTATGTTTCTCATAATGACGTGTGCCAAAAGAATAAGTATCAAGCTTTGACCATGGCTGGACTGTTGCAACCCTTGCCAATTCCTCAACAAGTTTGGGAGGATATTAGCATGGAATTCATCACGGGACTTCAAAATCCAAAAGGTATGATGTCATTCTTGTTGTTGTTGATAGATTGACAAAATATGCCCACTTCTTGGCTTTGGCACACCCATTTACAGCAAAAGAAGTAGCTGACAGATTTGTTAATGAAATTGTAAAATTGCATGGGTTTCCAAAAAGCAAAAACCATTGCATCAGATAGAGATAGGGTGTTTGTTAGCCAATTTTGGAAAGAATTGTTTAAGCAAGCCGGCACCCAACTTTGTCTTAGCTCCGCTTACCACCTAGAATCCAACAGCCAAACAAAAGTTTTGAATCGGGGCTTGGAAACTTATTTGTGTTGCTTCACCAATGAGAAACCAACTCAATGGGTGCAATGGTCATCTTGGACAGAGTATTAGTACAACACCTCTCATCATGGAGCTGCCGGCATGACACCTTTTAAAGCGGTGTATGGGAGAGACCCTCCTTCTTTCTTTGAAATGAATGATGAACCATCAGGTATTGAAGCTGTCAACGAACAGATTCAATCTCGAAATTGCATTATCGCCATCTTAAAGGACAACCTCACTTTGGCACAAGAAAGGATGAAGAAGCAAGCAAACAAACACAGAAGGGATGTGCAACTGGACATTGGTGATTTGGTTTATGTCAAGCTCAAACCCTACAAGTTGAGATCCTTAGCTAAAAGGCTCAATGAGAAGCTCAGCCCGCATTTCTATGGACCATTTAAAGTCATAGAGCAAGTCGGGAAAGTTGCATACAAGCTGGAACTCCCTCCTACAGCTCGCATGCATCCAGTTTTCCACATTTCTCAACTCAAAAATTTAGTTTGTTCAGCTATTGTCACTCCCACAATACCACCAGCCCTTTCTGCAGAATTAGAGTTACAGGTGCAACCTCAAGACATATGCAAAGTTCGGAAGCTTATGACAGGCCAGATGGAGGTTTTAGTGAAATGGAAAGACTTGCCCTAGTTTGAGAACTCATGGGAGACGGTTGACACCACCTCCCAACAATTTCCAGATTTCCCCCTTGAGGACAAGGTGAAACTCTCAGAGGAGGGTAATGATGTAACCTTGAAATATGGTCAGACTTATAAGAGGAGATCTAGGGGGCAGGTGGGTATAGAAAAGAAATACCCAATGGATCAAAGTTAATATCCTTAGGGTCCAGAAATTAAGGATTAAGTCATGATGTATGGTAAGGTGGCTTAGATTCAGTCTAGATACGTTGGTCACCTTTTTTGCTTCCTTATTTTGTTGTTGCTGTTTTGGGGGAGCACTGAAGAATGTTGCGATAAGCTAATCAGAAGGAAGGAGAGTGCTGGTCTCTCAAACACCAGTGAGAGGCTGTGTTCTTATTGCTGTGTTATTTCTTTTGTTGTAATTTTCATCCATAAGGAATAGGGTTTTGGCCAGAATAAGTGAGCTTCTCTTTTGTAACACTGATTCGGTTTCTAAGTCTTAATATCAAAACCCTTGGAATTTCCCTCATTTATTTCCTTCTTGCATTTAAGTTCTGTTGAAAGTAATTAACATAGAGCAAAGCTCTATCAAATTCCAAGAGTTAAGAAATCTGCAATTCTTCTTGACTTCTCCATTAACAAAGCTTTTTGGATTCAGAATATTCCCCATCTTCACCACCGAATTTGAGAATTTCTGGAAAAAGGCAAGAGGGTCCAAAGCAAACTTATTCACAAGCTCTCTTGTTTGAATCCCAAACACACTTGAGTCCAACTTCTCCTATTTTTGCATACATATTGTTCAAGGTAGCTTGGACAGTTTCCTCTTCAATCATCCCTAGCAAGTACAGTGGCAACACAGTATAGTATTTATCTCCTCTCCTGATTCTCTCATATATTTGGAAAACTTCAATGCAGAAATATAATCATTCTCTAGCACAAATCCAGAATCATAGCAGTCCAGAAGACCACATTATTGGCATCTGCAAGAATTTTCAGAACAATGGTGACGGCAAGGATGCGACGGCACTCAACCACCATCTTTGTCTTCTTCACCACTTCCTCTCCGCGAATTCTGCTGGTTTCTTCTTCGTCTTTGTGATTTTATCACCTTCTCCTTTTTACAAATCTCCAGCTTCTTCTTCTTCTCCACTTCGATTTCTCCAAATCTTTGATTCTTCCTCATGTTTGACTTCTCCTTTTCACAGATCTCCAGCTTCGTCTTCTTCTCTACTACTTCAATTTCTCCAGATCTATGATTCTTCTTCATCTTCAACTTCTCCAGCTTCGTCTTCTTCTCTACTACTTCAATTTCTCCAGATCTATGATCCTTCTTCATCTTCAACTTCTCCAGCTTCTTCTTCATCTTATCTACTGTGTTTCATCTAGATTCAAAGGTTTCGGATGCTTATACTTCCTAGGATCATGAGTGGCTTGTTGAGTGTTGGGATGGCCATAGGTTTGGGTGCCAAGAAAATGGATGCAGATTGCAGAGGGCAAAGAATTTTTTTAAAAAGAAAAATTGACAAGGATATTTTGGTAAATTGATTGTATAAATACATACATAAAAAATATATCATAACTCCATTTACATACCAAACATGCTTTTAAAACCCACATCCACCCTCATTTCCATTTCCATTTTTATATCCATCTCTATCTCCATTTCCATCAAAGACGTTTCCAAGATACCAAACAGGCCCTACGTGAGGTCACCAACAGAAGAATAGGAGACAGAAAATAAAAAAACCAAAAGGAACTGAAGTAATTTGAGCAGCAAAAGCTCTGATTTTTATTCACTATAATCAATTAGATATATAGTACATGAGGGAGAGAATAAATCTGATCAAGTCCCTTAATCTCTCATAAAAATATGAATAATAAAGCCGTGATAATAGAAGATATTAACAGAGAAATAAGAAAGGAAAGTTACGGTAAACATTGAGACGGGCCTACTAGTGGCAGCAAGCCCATTCTCAATGGGAACAAAAATCAGAACAAAGCATCGCCTTTTAGCATCCACAAGAGGAACATCCCAAAAAAATTATGAGCTGTGCATCACAAAGATGCAAAACTAGGGAAACAGATTTCCATAAATAGCAACTTAAAATCCCCACTATAATCAAATGGTTACTCATCATTTGATTCAAATTATTACCTAACTTCAAATAAGAAATCAATTAAAGAAAATCAATGAAGTACCTCCTATTCCCCCAGGTTTTTAATGGGAAATTCAACTTTCCCATTGAGTCTTCTCCTCATCTTAAGATGAAGAGGATCCGACATACCTCAAGAATTGTTAAGAGAATGTATTATCATGTGACAGGCATTCCCCATAATAATCTAACTCAAAAGAACAAGGAAACTTTCTATCATTCATAAATATATAACAAAACTCCAATACTCCAATACTAATGAAAAATCTTACTCCTCATGAATCGGAATTAGAATATATGCCTTCTGAAAAATATTTGTGCCCTTCCACCACCGTCTAAACTTTGCAAAGAATGTGTCTCTGTCACTCCGCTGGATATTCCAATGAAATGTGCGTTAAGCATGCACTGAATAAAAGCCAGAGAAAAAGGAAACAGGAAGAAATTAAATCCAATGACAAAATTTATTTCTGCTATCGATAACTCCCTGAGATGAGAGTACTGCAACTTCCATTTCTACCCCAAACTTAAATTCCTTGTTAACATGCCATTGCCCACTTTCTATTTTTAAAACTTATTTTGCTTTGCATCCACTTTCTAGTTTCACCCTACTCCTTTTAAACACATGTCCAGTGTATTCCTTATCCCACTTCAACTCTGTCAAATTTCAAAAGTTCAGTCTTAAAATAACTATGCCCCAAGTGTTTAAAAAAAAACAGAGAGAGAGATAAGAAACCTGCTACAAAACTGCAATATGATGATATTTCTATGTAAACGACTATTTTCCTGGTGCCTAAGGACACCAAGAATGTTCCAAGCAAAATAATAATTGATAGAAATTAAGTCAAAGATAATGAGTCATTGCACCTACTCATCAACAAGTACTGCAGACAATCAAACAGCAAGAAGCTTTAAAGTCTTTTAAATGGAACAACTCAATTTTATCAGAAAAAGTTAGCCCACTCACTAAAACAAGAAACTCTTACGGCCTTTTCGGATGGGAGGAAAGTTGGGAGGAGAGAAAATCGAGAGGAGTGATAATGTTATCACTCCTTGTAATTTCCTTTTTTGGTAAAAATCACTCCTTGTATTTGGATGAGCAAGAGAAAACGTGGAGCAAAGAAAATAGGCAAATGTTACAATGACAATAATACCCCTATATCATGATCTATAAGGTCTCATGTCATAATCTCTATCAAATAAACTTAAGGTAAATACCATATAAAAATTAACACCATCGAAATATTTTAAAATCAAGTTTTTTGGCAAAAAGATCAATGTGCTTTTTCTATTTTAAAATCAAATAATCTGGTAACAATATATTTTTCTATTTAAAATAAAAAAGGATTATTTTCAACAAGAGAAATTGTGATATACAGAACAAGCCGCTGGTGATACATGCCTGGATGAATTATTGTCATATGGCTGGTGGATAAATAGAACCAGGTCTTTGTGATATTGTAGGTGGAGTTCAAAGGCAAGACAAGGTGGATTAGAACTAATAAGACGAGGTTGAGTGAGACAGAAGAGGTCAAGAGGGAGGGGTAAGGAAAGAATAATAGTTTTCTTCTCAAAATCTCTCCCTATGTGGAGAGAATTTTTTTTTTATTATTATTTTTTTTTTGAAGGAAGTAGGTGGATCCACACCTTATTTTCCCCACTGCTTTTTCTTCCCTCCAGTTTTCTCTCCTTAATGTATTTCCTCTCCTATTTTCTCTCCTAGTTTTCTTTCCTTCCATCATTTCTTTCTATCCAAACAGGGGGTTAATGCACAAGCACATAACCACATTATGCCAGCAAGAAGAAAATTAACTACCTTGTAGGAAACAGCCTCTTTAAGCTTCTTGTAGAAATATGTGTTGAAAAAATGATAGTCAGATATTGATCTATCTGTTACAGACGCTTGTTGTTGCAGGTATCTAGTCAAATAAAAACAAGTCATACATTTTCGGCTTAGAAAAAAGAAAGCTGAAAATGAAGAATCACTATTTACAAGCATGCATGATTAACAAAGCTTAAAATGACAAGTAAAGCAGTAATCACATGATAATGGTAACTAGGACAAATAACTCCTCCGTTTCTTGGCCAATTTATACAATTATCTCCTCCATATAAAAATCATGAAAATGACAATTCATGACCCTATAAAAACATTTACTGCATTTAAGGACCTCAGATTATTCAAATTCAAATAAAAGACCTTGGTCCTTTGTTGTAATTAAAAATATTAAGGATTGACAAAAATACCCTTCGCTGGAGAACCATCGCCATTTCCAAGTGGATTACTTGATTTTCAAAAGTGGGTTATCACGAATTCACAAGTAATGTTATGCGATTTCACAACTGTTGGGATTAAAACAAAACTTGGCTTCTCCAAAACTTAAAAAACTAGAAGACAACCTTGTTTCCAAGTAGGTTACTTGGGATTCAAAACTGATGTTATGCGATTTCAATAGTCAATAGTTGGTACTAAGAGAAAACTTGGAGACAACCTTATTTCTAAGTGAGTTACTTGGTTTTCACAAGCGAGTTACCTAGAATTAACATTTGATGTTATGTGATTTCAATAGTCAATAGTCTAGATTAAAAGAAAATTTGGGCCTCTCCAAAACTTGGAAACTAGGAGAAAACCTAATTTCCAAGTGAGGTTACGGGTTACCTGATTTTCACACGTAGGTTACCCTCAATTCATAATTGATTTAATGCAATTTCAATAATCAATAGTTGGGATTAAAATTAAGCTTGTGCCTCTCCAAAACTTGGGAACTTGGAGACAACCCCATTAGTGGGTTATCTAGTTTTTGCAAGTGGGCTAGCTACCTTTGGTCATAAAGGCAATCTTGTCAGCTTATTTGTTTTTTAATTGCAGACAAAAACCATGGTCCTTCCAAGAGATTTCGTTAATTGGAGTTCTATAATTATAATTAATCATCCTGTTGGGTCTATAATTGTTATTTTCCCAAAAAATATACACAAAAATCATGTAAAGCTAAAAGATAACCCAAATACCCTAAAAAATATTTAATTTCTTTTACTAAAGATATAACTTTTACAAAAATGAATTTCCTATACCTTTTAAATACTAATGTCATTTGAAAAAACCCTAAGTTTAATTTATTCTAAATTTCAAAAATAACTAATTGATGCTGGTCAAATGCAATGTAAAACTTGCTACTTGTTATATCACACAAGTGATAACTATTAAGGTATTTTGGTCTAAACTGTGCTATTGCAGCTTATTCTTGGTTGCAAAGGAGGTTAATACAATGCATCTATTAATTTCAAGAGAAGGAAGTGTAATTCTTCAAAGTAGAGGGTAGGTGCATGTACTTTGGGTATCCCACTAGGAAGAAAGCATAATTTATTCATTTATTGTAATAAATAATAACTGTTAATCAGTTGCAGATTAAAAATTGTGACAAAAGAAGTCATAGCAAACAAATTGGCAGGCATACAATATGCTGAACACCATTAAACTCCAACTTATATATGTATATATCAAGAAAAATGCCACGTCTAAATAACCTATATTTTATCCCATAAAATTGAATATGATATGCCGTAAATATATTGCAGAGAAAATTACAGTCTAAAATAATTCTGATACTTTAAGATGAAAGGAAAAGTCCACTCAAACCAAAGACATTCTTGCAGGCAAAAGGAGGGGGAAAAGGACATGCTAAAAATGTTGGATATCAATATGTTGATTTCAACGTGAGGGGAAAAAGGAGTCAAATGAAAAATAATTGTTATACTACCCTTATATTTAAGAAAATAAAATAAAATGGCAAACTGTTAACCATAAAAATAAAAGGTAAAGGGGCAAAAATACCCACAAAATGGTTAGCCACGGGCACCCAATATCCTAAATTGAGGAAAAGGACAAAAATACTCATAACATAACATGAATAGGTGCAAAAGTGACCAAACCATTAATTTTGACCTAACGTCGTTAACTTTGACTGTTAGATGCTGACTATGCATGTCACATGTCAGTCTTTACTAACGTGAACTAATAAAAAAGCAAAAGTACCCATGATGTCGTAGGCCAAGAGCAAAAATACCCATAACATTACCAAAACTGATGTAAAAGTATCAATCCATTCGATCCCTTAAATATTGACTGTTTAACTAACACCTAAACAAAAGTTAACCATTTTTTTCGCCAATATGGATAAAAAATATTCCTAGACAAAATTCTTTAAAGGTTAATTAGTCATTATATGAATATCATATGAGAAAATATCATTTTGATTGAATATCAAATTAAATCACTTGTTTCTTTGCAACAGTGACAAAAACAATTTGAAAATTTTTGAACCTCTCATGAATGCAATTGCTTAAGGTTGTGACAATGTTCTAAAGCTAGATGTCTTCATTCTCGATCTTCGATTTTGTATAGCCTATCTCATTATGTTGAATCTTAGGTTTTACAAACAAGAAAAATGAGTGAAGAAGGAGAAAGGAAGAGGGCGAGATACGTAGCGATGGAAAGAAATCATGTAACATTGATTTTAATAGATTGGTCACTATTACACCTACTAAAATAATATTATGAACACTCATATGATGATTGATCAACATTTGTAAAAATTCATCTGGAAATATTTTTTGTCTACATCAGTGAAAAAATAATTAATTTTTACTTAAGTGTCAGCTAAACAATCAACATTTAAGGGATTAGATGGATTAGTACTTTTGCACTAACTCTGGTAACGTTATAGGTATTTTTGCTCCTCATTTACGACTTCGTGAGTATTTTTGCCCCTTTACTGGTCCACGTCAACAAAGACTGACACATGGCATGCGCAGTCAACATTTAATGATCGAATTTAATGGCATTAGGTCAAAGTGAATGATCTAGTTACTTTTGCACCCATCTATGTAACGTTACGGGTATTTTTGCCTTTTTTTCTCACTTCAGGATACTAAACGTCTATCGTTGACCACTTTGTGAGTATTTTTGCCCCTTTACCCAAAAATAAAAGATGCATGCAAATGGTGGCTACTCCTTTTTAATTACAAACTCAATGTCATGTCAACCAAGAAAGTCTTGATTCTAGTTCTTGTTTTCAAATTTTAACCCTTTGTCTTTGGCTAGTGATACAAAGTGTCAGAGTTATGAGCTCCTCTTACAACCAGCTAGAATAGTTGTCATGGATCATTTCCTCTCAAACATTAGTAGTTTTATTAAACTCTCTTAAAATTGCCTTCCTTAGAGAAAGTCCTTTGAGCTTGATTTTTGAACAAGAAACAAGCTATACTAAAATTAATTTGGTTAAAATATACTTTTAGTTCTTTAACTTTATATAAGGTTCCAAATTGGTCCTTTAATTTTATAAAATATCTTTGTAGTCCTTTAATCCTATCATCGTTAGTTTCAAATAATTAATTTTTGTACCAATCATTGTTATTTTGAAAAAATTAAACTTAATATGTCAACATTTGAAAATGTGTTGTCAACATTTGAAAGTTAAGTATAAAAATTTGTTGGGATAAAACTAACAGTGTTAGGGTTAAAGAAGTCATAAAACACTTTACAAAGTTAAGGGACTAAAATGAAATGTTGTGTAAAGGTGAAGGACTATGTATACTTTAGCTAATTAAGTTAATAATGATGAATTAGGTGACAAGAATCAAATTCTTCACCCCTTGGTCAGATGCCACATAAGTGCAATCATCCCAAAAGATTGAGATATTAAGAGAAGACCCTTGAATCATTTCATTAATAGCAGAACACATAAGAAAATTGAAAGGGGAGGCCCAAACATGCCTACCGAATGTAGAAGTTCATAATAGTTGATGTTAAAAAGCCTTCAGGAGCCAGGCAATCAATGTCTCTGTAGCAAATCTCAACACATTTTGGATCGTCCCTGAGCCATCACACAAAAACAATGAAAATGTCATGCAACAGAGAATAAATCAAACAAAAATTACAATGAAATCAAATCATCTGCAATATTAGTTTGTTGTACCTTGATGGATAATATATCTTAGCTTCATTCAGGCTTGAAAAGAGAGAATGAAATTCATTAAAATTTCATAGGAAAAATGTTATAATTGAAATGAGAATGATTAGATGGAGACATCAAAGTGACGAAATTTGCATACCATTCATCAAGTTTCTTTTCTTGACATTCTTTCTCCAGAATAAAAGTTTCATCCTCATCATCAAGAACAATGGCCTGACCCTGCTTAAGTTTTGTCAGATATCAGTTATCGATAGATTGTTAACACTAATAATCAAATTGTCACTTACTTCACCAGTAAGCAGCTGTAGTTTGGGTTATAAAAGATACTACAGACGTACCTTCTTGGATCTTGAATCATCCAATCGAATTGCCTGAGGTGCATCCTTCCTAGCAGGTGGGGAAATAACAACATAAAGAATTCTTTCATTCAGAAAATCCGATTAGAAACAAAAACAAAGACACATGCACACACACACGCTAGCCCCAACTTCAGATCAAGTGGAAAAGGGTACAGAAAAAGAAATCCTAGTAAAAATTTCATGCAAAAAAGATTATAGTTAACCTTTGCCTGAGAGAAGTGATCATGCGTGAGAACTAAGGAGGAAATAACCACCTTTATATCACAAATCAATAATCAAGATTAACCAAGAAAACAATAAAGGAAGATATACCCAAATAACCTAGACGTGCATCTGTCAATTTGTGCATTTGTGATTTAAGAGCAATTGCTTCCACCTCTCACTTGAAAAGCCTTGTACTCACAATCCCCACCCCTTGTGTAGCTCATATTACAATTGGAAATTAGTAGAGTTGAGAACAAAACTGGTACCCAATACCAGTGAAGTGAGTATTATTACTTATTTGATGAACCAATAAATATAAGTAGAATCATTTTCACAATTTTGCTTTATTTTTATTGATATCCTTGTCAAGGAGCAAAATTTTAAACAATTCAAGCATATGCACACTGGAAGACTCTAGTGAACTTGTAATCGGTGTACAGAGAGGGAGCAGTGCATTAGTTGTGTCACAAAACATAATTGCCCTGTGAACTACCAGTGCCAAATTCCACAATAATGTCAGTATTATAACAGACAGGAACAAAATCTATCAGCAAAGCATTTTTGCTCACATTTCTGGTAAGCATCCAGACACTTGCTCAATGTCGTGCAGAGACCGAGTGAAAGTTACTCTGCGCCTTTTATCATTTTTAGGGGTATCACATTTGGAAAGATTGCTGCGACATTGATATGGAAATTGTCTTGAAGATGATTGCTCTCTCTTTCGTCCCTTCCGTACAAAGTTGTCTCTAGTGTTCTGACTGTCACAATGCTTACTAAGTGACTCTTTCTTGGATGTATTGGGTGTCCCACAATCAATCTGCTTAACAAATTATAGTTAGGTAAGCAACAGCCAGGAAGTTAGAGAGGAAGCATAGAAGATGTTGCCTGATGCAAAGGATCTTACATCTTCAATTTTTTTAAAAAAAATAGATGCAAATGAGGATTTTGACTGTGCTTCAGATGGCAAATTCTCTTGTCTCGAGCCATCAGACACATCTACAAAATAATTCAGTTTCCTCAGATAGGTATGATGATTTAACATGCAGCATGCTTAAAACATCAAAAGTGTCCAATGCTCGCATTCATAACCTGATACTGCCCCTTTCATCCTCTCTATCCACTAAATAACAAAATGATCCCATAAGGGACATCAAAATCAATATGCTTGCCCTTTCCTTTTCCAAAGAATAGTAATATAATATAATCCATGTCTCAACCCACAAATACCATTCCTTGTCAACATGGCACAATGTATTAATACATATGATAAAATATACAAGTCATTATTTACAAGCAATAACAAATGCAATTCATTCCTTAGAATTCATGCAATAAAAAAAAAGTGCCTTTTGGAATAGAATTTTGAAAAGACTTATCCATCAACTTTGTTCCCTGTTAGCCACTTTTTGAGAGGCAATTTCTTTAGTTTCCCTATTGCCAGCATTTAACAAGCTTGACTAACAGCAAATCATTATTTTGCTTACAGTTAAAACAACCTGTAATAGATGAATCTAAAGGGAAAACTCATATGCAGTTTTTTAAATCTTTGCTATCAAGTTTCTCAATTAGCCACATGATGACACATGATCAATACCAGAACCTCACCGATAATGGTTGAGGTTGTAGCTGTTCTGGACTCCTCACACTCATCAACTTCCTGTTCTACAGAGGAAAAAGCATTAAAGCATAAGTAATTATGACACCAAAAAAAAAAAAAGCAGGTTGAATTACATGCATAGATTAATACTTATTTACAGCTGTATAATAAAATCGACAAAATTATATTATACATTAAAAATTCTACAAAGGGATCAAAGTAATTGCCTGACATGCTGTTTTCTCACTTGAAAGTTCATGTACACCTCCCTTTTTCTCTACGTAACAAATGAATGAAATGAAACCAGTAGCAAACATGCAATATAAACAGTGGACTTCCAATGCAAAAAATGTAGTGCGCCAGAATGCCTACAGATAACCGAAGGGCGCCTGTCCTACTGGTAGGGACCTGGACAGCTTAACTTGGGGTGTTGAGTTTGAGTTTCAGGGTATGCAACAATGCAGTTGAGCATGCGAAGCCAGCAAAAGCATGCTTCGCCAGCGGTACCAGCAAATACCACCTCAAAAAGGGCCAACTAAGCGGGGGTTTGGATTAGTCTGAAGTGGCCTGGGCGGACAATGAATCTAGAATACTCAGGCGCTTCAGGATACAGGTGCGAAAGCAAAAAAAAAAAAAAAAATGCCTATAGATAGTGCACCTTTGCCCCAGAAAGCAGATTAAAGATATTTTTTTCAAGGGGGAAAAATACAACGGAACAGCTATCTCAGTTGAACACTACAACACACACTTTTTTATCCAAATCAAATTTACCCCACCGCTCTGTTGGCTTTGCATTTCTGTTTCATACATTCTCGGCTCAACACAACGGACACCCAGAGAGCAGCTTTCATAATAACAGGCAGTTATCACGACAAGAATGAAAAAACAAATCAAGTAAGCAGACCTTCTCAAGGCGTCTCCGTCTTCTGCGACTTAGCTCGTCTTCATAGTGCTTGAGGGTGACTCGAAGTTTATCGCCTTTATCAGGCAAATTCTTAGCAGTGTTTTCGAAGGTGCGTAATTTACTATTATACGAATCTGTAAGCTGGTGATCGGTTAGGAGTCGTAGGTCTTCAGCGCGGGGATCGACATCCCTATGGGAGGTCCGTTGGGGTTCTGTGATCGAAACGATGGTTTTGGTACAAGTGTTGATGACGACCACAGGCGATGGTGGTCCGTCATCGTGGGTAGGCAAGAGTTTATTCCAGTCAAGGTCCAGGGGACGCCCCTTTGCGCTGCCTTCCTCCATCCATCAAACACAGATATGGCTCGGTTCCCCTAAGCCGCCGATCACACCAAGCCACAGACCGTCCTGCTGAATTTTTTTTTTTATTTTTTTTTATTTTTATTTTTTTATTTTTTATTTTTTATTTTTTTGGTTTTGGTAATGTGATGTTGCGTGTGAGCCTTCTTTTTCTTTTAACCTTGAACCACAGCAGCCCGTGTGATTAACAAATTTATAATTGAAATTAAAACTCAATTAAAATTAGCAAATTGAGATTGGTATAATTTTAACATGATTTATATTTAAATATATTTTTTAAAAAAGTTAATTGAATAAATTAAAATTTATCTAAATGATTTAATTCAAAAATTAATTTAGATATATAATGAAAAAAAAGACATAAATTTTATTATATATTTTTGTGATTAATTTGATTTCTTGAGAAAAATATTAGACTCTGTGATTATCCAGACATTTTTTTACAAAAATTTAAATTTAAATTATAATTTTATTTAAAAATAAAGTTAAAAAAAATACTCCCTCTCCACTAAAGTTGATAATTCGGGCCAACCCAAACCCGCCTGAAAAAAGTTACAACAAAGTTTGGCTATATGAGTTTTTTTAAGAGAGTATGATACTTTAAATCTGGCTCGAATAAACTCGATTGCTATAATTTCCAACTCTATATGCATATAGAATTGACAATTTTGGCCAAATCCAATGAGCCAACCTAAACCCGGCCAAAAAAAGTTAAGGCCAAACTTGGTTATATAAGCTTTTTTAAGAGGGCAGGATACCTCAAGCCCAATTCAAATAAGCTGGCTCGAATTAAACCTAACTTGAATAAGCTTGACCTGTTTGAATTACCAGCTCTACTCTCCACGACCACGTCTTTGCTTTTATGTCTGTGCAAGAAGAAAAGTCCCTCATCATCACCCCAATCCGACCTCCCTTCCACCTGGTCTTTCCACCAAGATGTATAGTTCTATATGGATAGAGCCGGTAATTCGGGTCGAGCCCGACAGGCTACCCAAACCCACCTGAAAAAAGTAAGGGTCGGGCTTAAAAAAATTATGATATTTTTATGTTCAGGCCTATTACCCGAATAGGCATGAGAAAATTTAGGCCAAGCCCGAACCTGATGGGCTTGACCAAAATACCCAAATAAATTTTTTTATTTTTATAAAATATATTAAAAATGATAAATGTTAATTAATTATTTAAGTTTTACGTCATTTTATATTAAAATACCATATATTTGAGTCTTATACATTATTTAAGTATCAAATTTGTAAATAAAATAATTAATTTTAAAGTAAAAATTTAATTAAAAATAATTTTAAAAATAAAATTCAGGTATTCAAGTTGCCCAAAGCCCGAAGGAATTCGAGCCAGGCTTAGCTATTTAGGCTTTTTGAGGAGTCGGGCTTATTTAGGCTGGCCTGAATAGGCCCGGCCAGCTTGAATTCCCAGCTCTATCTATAGAGGAGATCGAAAAGGCCATTAGCAACTTCTTACTGAAACTCCAATGTCACTGATTAAACTAGAACCAATTGAAGCAAAACTCGCAAGTGGTGACAATGACACCGAAGTGGAAGCACAAGACCATGGAGCCACCTAGTTCTTTCCTTCCTCCTCCTTTTCTCTGTCATCTTCATCATTGTGATCTTCATAACTAAAGTCAATAGTGGAACTAGAATCTCCAACATCCTCCTCCTCCTTATGGTGATCAGGACTATCACAGAGATCATGATGATGATCATGCTAATCGTTATTCATCTTGTTGATGCTTGCGTGAATCAATGGCACAATGGTGGCAAAGAAAGTGAGTTGGCGTAAGCTTGGTACCATTAGTTTTTCGAGAAGTGAAACATTGGTAAGTATGACAAAAAAGGACCCTAATGTGCTTCGCCACCAGGAAGTTGGCACTGTGAACCTTGTCGTTGCAATTTATGAAGACAGGGAGACTAACTAAGATATAGGGAGAGAGAAGAATCCCAATGCTCCTCCCCTGACACTCATTAAAAGGCTACTCCTCCCAGCTTTCACCAAAACACATGTTCTAAGCTCACCGCCTGTTCAACCTCTTTTTTATCCAAACAAAATTTTAATGCTACTAATGAGCCTTTTACCTCCTAAATGAGGTTTAGACCACCCCAACCTTAGTTGGGAGGTAATCTAAACACACACTAAGGGTCCATTTGGTATTTTGGGTGAGTTTTTTTTAACATAACTTTTAGTCCTTGCATTTTGCTCGCATTTTATTATAGATCCCTAAACTTTTTGTCATAATTACATCACATTGCTCATTACCACAATACTAACAATCATGTGACAATAGCAAACACAATAATCACAACTTGCTAAAAACTTAACAACCATGTGACATGTGGGATAATATACATGATTGACTTTAACACTATATTCTCCTTATACATTTCGACTAAAACCATGGGCTATAAATCAAAAAAAGTTTTCATTTCATATGAATGAACTATCAAAGCTCATCATTGTAAGGATCAACCCAACCAAAGGTCAATACACTCACTCTTAAACCATGGTCTCCCCATTCTCAAATCTCTAAGGTGTGTAAATCCTAAGCTAGTTTTTTCGACAAATAAGTGGAGATAGCTAAGTTTGAGTCCCTTAAAAAATAGTGGGATAAGGCTAGCTTTCGAACATCAAAATGCAGCCATACCATGTGGATTTATCTACTCCTCTCTATAGGCAAACTCTTGCTAATATGACCATATAATGAATCATGCTCATGCACAAAGCATGCTGTCAATCACATTCATGTGTTCAATCAATCAATAACATACATTTAGCTAACCTAATGAGCAGATTTTCATCTCTCACAATATCATTTCAACATATTTACCTATATATCATCACATATATTTCAATCATATCATAACCATTCTTTCATGAGTTCAAACCACAACAACACATTCACATGTACATAGCTTCATCTCTACTAAGTCACATTCATGAATTTCACAAAAATGTGACAATTTACAGAGTCATAATCATTTTATCAAAACATACACATCACCACCACAATCTCAATTTATTCCTTTTTCAAAATAACATATGATAATGAATGTGAGGTGCATCTTTCTTTATGTTTAACATAAATATTATTTCAAAAACTTATATCAATTAACATGTAATTCCAAAGGAATAAGTTTTCTCTGATTATCTCAAATCTTTAAGCAATCAAAGGCTTACCTCTCAAACAATGGCTTCCAAAACTTGATCTCAAGCCAAAATTATTACACGGATGGTTAATCTATATTTAATCATATCCAAAACTATTAACATCACCATTTTACACAATTCTAACTCCCTATTTCAAATCTATAAACACCCAAAACCTTAGTCTCTTGCATTTGAGCTTAGCCATTGGGTTTAACAACTTCCCTTAGCTCATATTAACATCATTAAAATCTTTTAAGGCCATTAGTGTCTCCCACCAATCTCCAAACCCATATTTAATACAACATTTTCGGATATTAATGCTAACTACTAAAACAAGTTGAACCTTCAACTCTTGATTTAAATAGTCCAATTAATTTACATTAACTCTATTTAAATTAATGTATTTGGACCTATAGCCTTAGTGCTTGTTTAGTTTGTCACTGGAATCAATTTTCTATGAGTAAATTGATTTTTAAAAGCAAATTACCCAAATAGCAATAAAATGAGACAATCGATTAAATGGGTTAAAACTGATTTTTTTGCTAAGTTGTATTTGTGAGCTTCTATGAAAAAGCTATCAAAAAGCATTAGATAAAATTATAAAGAAAGGCGTAAAAAAAATATAAGAAAGGCACAAAATTTAATAAAAATAAAAGCAAACTCTCTTCTCTTTTTTTTTTCTCAATAAAATTCAAACTTTTGATCCTCAAAAAAGTTACTAACATAAGTTACTGCCAACCACAACCCTTTACTTAACACTTGCTATAAAACTAATTTAAATATAATATTAATTGGTAGAGGAAAATTAATTTGATCAATTCTGTAAAATTAATTTTAGAAAAATAGTATTTAAATACATTGCATTATAACATAATCAATTATGATTAAAATCTATCATTTAATCAATTATTTTCATAATCTATTATACCCAACTAAAATCCAAACGAGCACTTAAAGTTTCAAAAATCACTTCTCCAATACAAACCCGAACTCAAGACCTGTCAATAGAGGGAGAGCAAGGAAGATTAAAGCTAAAAAGACTTACCTTGATATTCTTTAGCTCCAAATCAATCTTAAACCTTTAAATTTCCAAGCCCTATTAGAGCAAATGTCAAGCCCCTTCTTTTCTCTTTTTTTTTTCATTTTAAGTTTTCTCTCTCTTTCTCAAACTAAAACTCGGGTTATTTCTATCAAATTTTAGTCATGCACTGTGGCATATGCCACATGCATCGTAGCATGTGATACAAAGAGGTCTCTTCATGTTCTCTAGCCTATTGTGTCATGGCACACATTGCACACACTATGGCATGTGGTATATAACCACACTTTTTTGTTTGCCTCCCTTTTTAAGGTCCAAGTGACCTAAATTTAAGGTTGAAACCACAACCTAATACAATCTCTCTAACCACATGTCACATTAATTTGCTTAATTATACTCATTTAACCTAATTAATCAAGGTTAAACTTTTAGGATGTTACACAAAGTCATGCTAAGTCAGGCTTTGTGATGGTAAGGATAATTGTAGACTATTTGGTTGTCTAGTTGTTTTAGTGATTGAGAGTGCTAACAACTTCATTGTGGCTACTTTTATACCAAAGAGAGTTCCCTAGTTTGAATTTGAATTTTTCCCACCAAGTAGGGGGAATAACCTTTCCCATGTCTCTGGAGTAGGGAGTGCTATGTGCTAGTAAAAGCTGTGCTTCGAGTATTTAGGGGATCATGGGTTGACCACATCTCTAAGGAATTAGCTTTGGAACACATTGTTTTACTTAAAGGAAAGCCAAATTGGACCTTCATCATTGTTATGCTTTGCATTCTCAAGCTCTTTTATGATCCAATTACCCTAAATTCAACCCACTAGCTTTTTAGGTCAAATAA